ACTCCATACAAAGGAGCTTATCTGTCTGACAATCATTCTACCCTGATTTTGTTTCATGGATGTCCCTCAAATTCATATGTTGATACCTAATGATATCAGAGCAGCCGTAAAGAAAGTTTACCCAGTGATCAAGTCATAATGGCTCTTAAATAGAATTCATAGACATTCAACAGAGACTTCAGGAAGCTGCCCTGTCGCATTTACCATGTAGAAAAGAAATATGTCATCTTTGATCTAAATACGCTCATGTCTTGTTTTTGGAATTCTCCAACTCTAGAAATGTATGGAAGAAATTGCTCCTATCCACAAAGAACCTAGTATGTGGTATGCTTTTCTATTGTGTGATATTTTGACTGTGTTCTGACAAAGAAAGCTTGGTTGGAGTCAGAGGGTGGAGCTAGCCACTAGCTGACCTAAATTAACCATAGGGGTTTGGAGGACTGTAGACAGAGAGGAGACAGGAAGTAGTAAGGTGGGGCAGAGAGAGGGATCTCAGCTCTTTTGGACACAGGAACAGTAGAGGTAGGAGGCAACTGGTGGCTCCCTGCTTCTCTATCTTTCAGGTCCTTACCTCCGATTATCTGACTTCCAATTTTTTATTGATAAAGATTAATTAGATTAATGCTTCACTTTTCTTATTCACTTCAAATGTCTTCTTTTTTTCTAAAATCAAACTTTAATGACACATTAAGAGCTATAAAATGAAATGAAACAAAAAAATTAGCATATAAGAAGTTTTAGTACTTTTTTTCACATAAGTTCCAGCTTTGAAGTTTTATCTAGCATGCATTATAAGGAAGCTTCTTGTTCCTGTAGTAATGATTTTATAGAATATCTAGGTTAAAATTTGCCTCAATCTGTTTATTTATTTCAGCTAAAAGTTGTTAAACTTCCAATGCATCTTTATGTAAAGGAATATTGAAACAGCTTTAAGTTTTAGTCAAGTTAATATTACTTTAGCAGTTGCATCTTTGATAATTATTGTTGATGAACTGCAGTCACTTTCAAAACTATTGCTTAGGTTTGAGATTAATAAAATGCACACAAATACCTAGACCTTAGCATTTAAAGTCAAGAGTTTAAGTAAATACATATAAAATATTAACTAATGTTTACTTTGAATGAACTGCATTATTCAATAATTTGAAAATGAATTAGGCTTAGTATTGGTACAAAATTGTAAATATAACTGAGTTTCATTGAAGCATTATTATTAATAAGAAATATATTATTTAGAAAACTGTCAGACCCATTTTAACAAGAAGTTAAGCATTTAAAAGAATTCTATACATCTGTGAAAGGAGAAAGCAGTAAGGGTCGAGAGACAAACAAGAACAAAATCAATAGCAATGCAACTTGTAATACACTTAAATGTTTAGAACTGCACGAGGATTTTTTCTGATGTCTAGAAAAATATTAAAGGGCTTATATTATTTATGATTATATAATTGATGATTCATATACCTTTTAGAAATTGTCTTAAAGTTATTGAAATGGTTTAAGATCAATGCCCAGTCATATATTGACTCCCACTTGTGAAGTCCTTGTAATTCTCAATTGCCACACTGAGATTGGTGTTAGGTGATCAGCTGTAAAATCTGGTAAAGAGTATCTCTCAGAGACGGTACAGAAAAAGTGACTGTCTATCATCAAATAAGTTTCTCTAATTCTCAAAAATGTAAAGAAAAATGAAATTATACCTTTACTTATAATTTTCATTTGCTTTTTACATTTTTATAGTTATTTTTTGAGAATTTCATACATTTTGATCATATTCTTTCTCCACCCCCAATTCCTCCTAATTCCCCTCCCTTCTTCTCTTCCCCCAAATTCATGTTCTTATATTGTCTTTTTAAAATTTTTTAAATTTTATTTATTTGTTTATTTTAGATCCCAACCACAGTTCCCCTTCATCTTCTCCTCCAATTTTCTCCCCCCACCCCTCCACCAGCACAATCTATTCACTCCTCCTCTGTTTCTGTTCAGAAATTGGCTGGCCACTTATGGGTATTAAAAAGCATGGCATATCAAGTCGCTGTAGTAAGATTAAGCATCTCCCCATGTATTGAGGCAGGGCAAGGCAGTCCAGTAAAAGGAATAGCTTCCCAAGAGCCAACAAAAGAGTTAGAGTTAGCCCCTGCTCCCATTGTTAGGAACCCCACAAGTAGACCAAGACACACAACTGTCACATATATATAGAAGGCCTAGGTTAGTCTTATGTAGGATCTCTAGTTGTTGGTATAAAATCTGTGAGTTCCTATGAGCCAGGTGAGTTGTTTCTGTAGATATTCTTGTGGTGTCCTGGACCCCACTGGCTCCTACTTTCTTTCCTCCATCTCTTGAGCAGGATTCCTGGAGCTCAGCCTAGTGTTTGGCTGTGAGTCTCTGCATCTGTTTCCATCAGTTACAGGATGAAGGTTCTCTGATAACAGACAATTGGGGAAATCATAAATCTGATCACAAGAGATGGCCAGTTCAGACTACCTATAAGTTATTGCTAGGAGTTTTGTTTGTTTGTTTTTGTTTTCTTTTCTATTTTATTTTATAATTTAATTTAATTTTACATATCAGCCACAGATTCCCTTGTCCTCCCCCCTCCCACTCCCTCTACCTTCCTCCCAGCCCACCCTCTATTCCCATCTCCTCCAGGGCAAAGACTCCCCTCGGGATTGAGTTCAACCTGGTAGATTCAGTCCAGGCAGGTCCAGTCCCCTCCTCCCAGGCTGAGCTAAGTGTCCCTGTATAAGCCCCAGGTTCCAAATAGCCAGCTCATGCACTGAGGACAGGACCCGGTCCCACTGTCTGGATGCCTCCCAAACAGATCAAGCTAATCCACTGTCTCACTTATCCAGAGGGCCTGATCCAGTTGGGGGCTCCTCAGGTATTGGTTCATAGTTCATGTGTTTCCATTCGTTTGGCTATTTGTCCCTGTGCTTTTTCCAATCTTGGTCTCAACAATTCTCACTCATACAAACCCTCCTCTTTCTCGCCAATTGGACTCCTGGAGCTCCACCTGGGGCCTGGCCGTGGATTTCTGCATCCGGTTCCCTCAGTCATTAGATGAGTTTTCTCACATGACAATTAGGGTGTTTGGCCATCCTATCGCCTACTCACAACTTCAGGGAGGCTTCCTAGAAAACAGGACCCCAAGAAAGACACAAGGATCGCCAATGACAGAGAAATGGATGAGATCTATATGAACAACCTGGACGTGAGTGGGGGTAAGGAAGGGCAAGGGTTGAGGAAAAGAGAGCTTAGGGGAGCAGGAGATCCCAGCTGGATCAAGAACAGAAAGGGAGAATATTACTAGGAGTTTTAGCTGTTATTATTCTTGTAGATTCCTGAGAATTTCCCTGGGGAATTGCATCAGGTTTCTACCTGACCCCCAAATCCACCCCCTTTCAAGTAATCTCTTTCAGCATTCTCCCCCTCAATCCACCCTTGATACTCAAACCCTGAAGTTCTCTTCCCTGCCCACCCCAGTCCACCCACAAGATCTCTTCTATTTTCTATCCCCAGGAAGATCTGTGATTCTCCCCTGGGCCCTCCTTGTTACCTAGCCTCTCTGGGTTTGTGGATTGTAGAGTGGTTATCCTTTACTTTACAGCTAATATCTACTTGTGTGAGCACATGCTATCTTTGTCTTTCTGGGTCTTGGTTACCTCAGGATGATTTTTTCTAGTTCCATCTAGTTGCCTTCAAATTTCCTGTCATCATTGTTTTTAATAGCTGAGTAATATTACAGTGTACCACTTTTTCTTTATCCATTCTCCAGTTGAGCATCATCTATGCTGTTTTCAGGTTCTGGCTATTACAAATAAAGTAGCTATAACATAGTTGACCAAGTGTCATTGTGGTGTTATTGAGCATCCTTTGGGTATATGCCCATGAGTAGTATACCAGGGTCTTGAAATAGATTGATTCCCAATTTTCTGAAAAACCACCATATTGATTTCCAAAGTGGCTGTACAAGTTTGCACTCCTACCAGCCAGCAATGGTGGAGTGTTCCCCTTGCTCCACATCCTTTCTAGCACAAGCTATCATCATGTCTGGTTTTGAACTTAGCCATTTTGACAGGTGTAAGATGGAATTTCAATGTTGTTTTCATTTACATTTCTCTGGTGGCTAAGGTTGTTGAACATTTCTTTAAGTGTTTCTCTGCCATTTGTGCTTCTTCTGTTGAGAATTCTCTGTTTAGGATTGCCTCCATTTTTTAAATTTAATTATATGGTTTTTTGATGTCTAGTTTCTTGAGTCCATTATATTTTGGAGATCAACCTTCTGTCAGATGTGGGGTTGATGAAAATCTTTTCCAATTCTCTAGGCTGCTGTTTTGTCTTATTGACAATATCCCTTGCCTTACAGCTTTTCGATTTCATGAGGTTCTATTTATTAATTATTGATCTTAGTGTCTGTGCCACTGGTGTCCTCTTCAGAAAATTGTCTTTTGTGCTATTGTGTTCAAGATGATTTCCCAATTCCTCTTCTTTTATATATATATTTTATTATTATTATTATTAAGAGATTTTCTATTCCTTTTACATACCAACCACAGATTCCCCTGTCCTCCCTCCTCTGCCCTGAGTCTTCCCCTCAACCCACCCCCCATTTCCACCTCTTCCAAGGCAAGGTCCCCCATGTGGAGTCAGCAGAGCCTGGTACATTCAGTTGAGGCAGGTCCAAGCCCCTCTTCCCTGTACCAAGGCTGCGGAAAGTGTCTCACCATAGACATTAGGTTCCAAAAAGCTGGCTCATGCACTAGGGACAGGTCCCGAACCTACGCCTGATGGTTCAAGTAAACAACTGTCTTGCTTATCCAGAGGGACTAGTCCAGTACCATGGGGGCTCCTCAGCTATTGGTCCACAGTTCATGTGTTTCCACTCGTTCGGCTAGTTGTCTCTGTACTTTTTCTGATCATAGTCTCAGTGTCTTTTGCTCATAGGATCCCTCCTCTCTCTCATGGATTGGGTTCCTGGAGCTCTGCCTGGGACCCGGCCAAAAACTATGGAATGCTTCATGAATTTGTGTATCATCCCTGTGCAGGGACCATGCTAATCTTCTCTGTATTGTTCCAAATTTAGTATATGTGCTGCTGAAGTGAGCACTACACTTTCTCTTCTATCAGGTTCAGTGTAACTGAATTTATGTTGAGGTATTTGATCTACTTTGGACTTGAGTTTTGTGCAAGGTGATAGATATGAATCTATGTGCATTCTTCTACATGGTAATATCCAGTTAGGGCATCACCATTTGTTGAAGATTCTTTCTTTTTTCCATTTTATAATGTTGACTTCTTTACCAAATATCAGGTGTCCATACATGTGTCAATTCATTTGATCCACCTGTCTGTTTTTATGTCAGTACCATGCTGTTTTTATTATTATAGCTCTGCAGTAGAGCATGAGATTAGGGATGGTGATACCTCTTGAAGTTCTTTTATTGTGCAGGATTGTTTTAGCTACTCTGGGTTTTTTGTTTGTTTTTCCATATTGAGTATTGTTCTTTAAAGTCCTATAAAGAATTGTGATAAAATTTTAATGGGGGTTTCATTGATTTTGTAGATTGCTTTTGGTAAAAAATGGCCATTGTTGTACAAAATCTAATATGCCTTTTAATAATAAAAACCTGGAGCCAGATATTGGGGTAAATGCATGTGATTCCCAGGTACTGGGATTAAAGATGTGTGCCATCACTGCCTGGCTCTGTTTCTCTCTTAAATTGAGTCATTCTCATATAATCCCGGGTGGCTTTGAATTCACAGATATACAGAAGGATATCTTCCAAGTGCTAGGATTAAAGGTGTGTGTCACCACTGCCTGGCATCTATGTTTAATCTAGTGGCTTATTCTGTTCTCTGTTCTTCAGGCAAATTTTATTAGGGTACACAATGTATTACCACAGGCCATTTTTTACTATGTTAATACTACTAATCCATGAGCATGGGAGATCTTTTTACTTTCTAATATTTTCTCCAATTTCTTTCATTAAAGACTTGAGATTCTTTTCATATAGGTTTTTTTCACTTGCTTGGTTAGAGTTACCTCAAGATATTTTATATTATTTGTGGGTATTGTAAAGGGTATTATTTCCCTGATTTCTTTCTCAGCACTTTTATCATTTGTATATAAGAGAGCTACTGATTTTTGTTTTTAGTTAACTTGCATCCAACCACTTCACACAAAAAAAGTATTTATCAGTGGTAGGAGTTCCCTGGTAGAATTTTTGGGGTTGCTTACATGTACTATCATGTCATCTGCATATATCAATACTCTGCTTTCTTCTTTTCCAATTTGTGTTCCCTTGATCTCCTTTTGTTGTCTTAGTGCTCTAGCTAGAACTTCAAGTACTATATTGAATAGATATGGAGAGAATGGACAGCCTTGTCTTGTTCTTGATTGTAGTGGAATTGCTTTGAGTTTCTCTCAATTTAATTTGATGTGGGCTGTCAGATTAAATACTGTATATTGCATTTATTATATTTACGTATGTCTTTGTATCACTGATCTCGTCAACATTTTTATTATGAAGTGGTATTGGGTTTGTCAAAGTCCTTTTCAGTATAATAAATTGATCATGTCTTTTTTTTTTCTTTCAGTTTTTTCTATGGTGTATTACATTGACAGATTTTTATATGTTGAACCATTCCTGTGTCTCTAGGATGAAGGCCACTTGATCATGGTTGATGATCTTTTTGATGTGTTCTTGGATTCTCTTTGCCAGTATTTTATTGAGTATTTTTGCATCAATGTTCATGATGGAAGGTGGTTTGTAATTATCTTTCTTGTTGAGTCTTTGTATGGTTTGAGCATCAAGGGGTCTATGGCCTCATAGAAAGAATTTGACAATGTTCCTTCTGTTTCTATTTTGTGGAATAATTTGAGGAATATTTGTATTGGCTCTTCTTTGAAAGTCTTGTAGAATTTTGCACTGAAACCATCTGGCTCTGGGCTTCTCTTGGTTGGGAGACTTTTAATAGCTGCTTCCATTTCCTTAAGAGTTAAAGGTCTATTTAAATTGTTTATCTGATCTTAATTTAATTTTGGCATGTGGTATCTATAAGAAACTTGTGCATTTCTTTTAGATTTCCCAATTTTGTGGAGAACAAGTTTTTGAAGTATGACCCAATGATTGTCTGGATTTCCTCAGTGTCTATTATTATGTACCCTTTTCATTTCTAGTTTGTTAAGTTGGATATTCTCTCTCTACTATTTAGTTTTAGGATAAGGGTTTGTCTATCTTGTTGATTTTCTTAAGGAACCAACTCTTTGTTTCATTAATTCTTTATATTGTTCTCTTTGTTTCTATTTTATTGATTTCAGCCCTGAGTTTATTTCCTGACATCTACTCTTCTTTGGTGCATTTGTTTGTTTGTTTGTTTCTTTTTTTTTTCTCTAGAGCTCTCAAGTATGCTGTTAAGTTGTTAGCTGAGATTGCTCCAAATTCTTTATGCAGGCACTTTCTGGCTTTTAGAGTCTCCATTGAGAATTCAGGTGTAATTCTAAGAGGACTGCTTTTATATGTTACTTGGCCTTTTCCTTTTCACCTGTTAATATTCTTTCTTTATTCTGTATGTTCAGTGTTTTCATAATTGTGTGGTGAGGGGATTTTTTTTTTTATCTGATCCAGCCTATTTGGCATTCTATGAGCTTCTTGATCCTTTGTAGGCATGTCCTTCTTTTGGTTGGGATAATTTTTCTATGATTTTGTTGAATATATTTTCTGGGCCTTTGAGCTGAATGAGATTCTTCTCTCTCTTCTGTTCCTATTATTCTTGGATTTGGCCTTTTCATAGTGTCCCAGATTTCCTTCATTTGGAGGGCTAGGAATTGTTTAAATTTAACATTTTCTTTGACTGATGAATCTAAGTCCTCTATCATATCTTCAATGCCTCAGAATCTCTCTTCCATTTTTTGTATTTTGTTGGTGATGCTTGCATTTGTAGCTCCTGTTTGCTTACCCAGATTTTCCATAATTCCCTCAGTTTGCCTTTTTATTTGATTTTTTTTTTGTTTTTTATTGCTTCCATAAACATATTGAGATCTGGAACCACTTCCTTCTCCTGTTTGTTTTTTTCTTGACTTTCTTGGCATTCTTTGAGGGATTTAGTGATTTATTCCTATTTTCCATTCGTCTTTGACTGTTTTTTATGAGATTTTTTTTCATTTCCTCTTTAAGTACCTCAATCATCTTCATAAAATTATTTTTTAAAATCATTTTCTTGTGCTTCAGCTGTGTTGAAATGTTCAGGTCTTGCTGTCATAGGATAGCTGGACTGTGGTGGTGACATATTGCCCTTTCTGTTACTGATCATCATCTCACACTGGCTTTTAGGCATCTGGATTTAGGGATGATTTTCGGTCCAGTTATTGATTTATGTCTTTGTCTTTGTTGGAAGGGTATTTTTTGTTCCTTGGTTTCTGTTTCCTCTCTGGTCTTCTGACTTTAAGTGGCCAAGAGTTCTGGTGACTCATGAGTCTTCAGATCCAGTAAGGTGTCTCCACTGGGGTTTTGGGGACTTTGGGTTCCCTTGATCTGATCTGGCCTCAATTAAACCTGATGTCTTCTTGGGTCTCTAGATCTGGCATGGGCTCTAGTAAAGCCTGAGTCTTCTTCTCAGGTACCTAGTACCAGTCTGGCCTCCAGTTAAGTTTTTGGGGCTATTCTTCCAACTGGTGTGGACTATACTGAGACCTATGGAGTCTTCAGGGGAAGGGCTGGCTATAAAAAGGATGATGATTTGGGAGGGGTTGAGCGGAGATATGGTTCTTGGGGGAATCAGAATTAAGGGGTGGAGGCAGTCCAGCTTGCAGGTGGGTCACACACCCACTGGTTTTTGACAGGTGAGGACTACATCAGAAGAGTGTGAACCCTCTGGAGTTGGGGGCTGGGCCCAGCAGTGGTGCTGGTGCTGAGATGGGAAGGTTTGGGCCACAGGACAGGAGGGATACTCACCGATTCTGGCTGGTGTTGTGTTCTGTGCCTCAGAGGCAGAAGTCCACTGGGGTTGGGGACAGGGCCCAGCAGTGGGGCCAGGGACTAGCTGGGATAGCTTAGGCCTGGGAAAGGGTCATGAGTGGGGCCAGAATCCAGAGAAGGGTGTAGTACTTCTGACAGATGGGTCACTCACTGGTTCTGGATGGCAGAAGTCTTCTGTGGTTGAGGGCAGGGCCCAGCAAAGGGGCTAGGGACTAGCTAGGATAGCCTCTTTCTTTCTCTTAAAAAATAAAACAAAAATTAAAACAAACAAAAAATGCAATCCATGGAGAAAAGGACCAGCACTGGGGTGTAGTTAACATACTCATTGTCGCTCCATTGGAAAAAAAAAAAAAAAAACATTTTTCCTCCCCCAGCATCTATCAATTGCAAATAGCCTCTCAGGGGTAGAACTTTGTACATACTTGTCCTTCTCTGTACTGGGAATTTGTCTGGTTTATAAGGGTCTTGCATATGATGTTACTATGAGTTCATATGTGCATAAGCCCTATTGTGTTAAAATACTCTGCTTCCTTGACGTCATCTACCACCTCTGATTCTTAAAATCTTCCCACCTCCTTTTCACATAGATTCATGAGTCTTTGGGGTACAGTGTGATAAAGACATCCCATTTAAGGCTGAGTATTCCAAAGTCTCCCACTCTTTGTGCATTGTCTCATTATAGGTCTCTAGATGAACTCCCATCTATTCAAGAAGAAATTTCTCTGATGATTGTTGAATGATGAATTGATCTATGAGTACAGCAACATGTCATTAGGAGTCATTTTATTGCTATGTTCATTTAACAGAGTGGTAAGTTTCCCCCTAGGGTCCATTACCTATCTAGTCTCAGGTTCTTGGCTTCCTTAACAATGTCAAAGTATTAAGTTTTGATGGGTTCCATTTCATGGATTGGGTCTTTAATTAAAAAAAAAATGGTTAGTTACTTTCACAACACCCATGCCACTGTTACATCAGTGGGGTATTGTGCACACAGGCGATTATTGTAGCTTAAAGGTTTTATAGCTGGGTGGGATTGGTGATCACTTTTCTTCTCTGGTACAATATAATAGATATAATATAATATAATATAATATAATATAATATAATATAATATAATATAATATAATAT